TATCAAATTTTGGGTTTATTTTCACCTATACGGGAAAATCAAATGAAATGGGTGAACCAAACCAGATAAAACTACTGGGCAAATGTATAAAATTTAGTGAAAATCGTATTACCATCTCTGTGTTTCATTTGGCTCAGTGACAGGTCCTTTTCTTAAGTGGATTTCAATGGCAGCTTTTTGGCTTTCGGTGATTTGCGAAAGGAGTCTCTGAATAATCTCCGACTGACCTTTAGAAGAAAAATCAGTTCAAGAAAAAGAAAAAAAAAATCATAGGTAAGTGAGGGAAGCCTGAGTAGCACAATGGAGTATCATTTTCAGAACTTCTTTCGCAGACTTTCGCATTTTATTTCATTTAATTTCCTTTCCGTGCTCATCACTTACAATAATGTCTACGTAAAATTAACATAAATTTGCGATTTTCCAGCAGCTTAGACGAGTATTTCAGAGCAGAAACCAAAGCAGTGGCAAAAAGTCAAAGGAAAACAAATAAAAAGACAAAAGAAAAGCTTCAAAGTAGGATATATAAAAAAAGAGCATAAAATATGCTAAAGTTGACAGCTTAAGGCTGTTTTGAGTCGTGGCGGCGTCAGAAAAAAGGAAACAAACTCAAGCTGTCAGGATTTATGTTGTTAAGGCGAAGTGACCTGGCTAGATATTGAATTGGAAAGTGCAACAGCTCTAATGAGAAAAGCAGTTATACCTTCTGGGCAACAATTCAAATTCAATTTATCAGCGCCTAAGAGCAGGCTCCAAAAATCCCTCAAGCTGCTTTTCACCCAATTGAAATTCAATTTGAATCGAAGATTATTCTCAGCTCCGAGTGACAAGTTTGTTTACGTTTAAGTATGAGGAAAATTGTAAGCTCCAGCTCAATGCTCATATCAAAACTGTTTGCCAAAGCCCAACTTTAAGTGCTTAACGGCAAGCTCAATAAATTTCTCAACTTACACCACAAAGAAGTTTGCCCAAGAACTCGAAAACTTTTCTATTTTTTGTTTCCTGGTTGAGGGCGAAAATAATTTCGAGTGTGCGAGAAACAGAATTACCAAATTTGCCTCTCCAGCAAACAAACAGAAAACGTGAGGATCTGGAAATCTCTCTATACGTATATATAGTTCGCAGTTATATGTAACTACATACATTGTAACGACTGCTCTGAAAATCCCCCTACGTACCATAATCTTCATGTCTGTTTGCAACTGTTTGCGCTGACAGCCCGGCTGGTTTTTTGGGTGGGTGTGGGTTTGTTCCCGGGTTTCGGATTGGGATTGGGATTGGGATTGGGATTGTGCTAGGTTCCGCTCCCTTTTGTTCACTTGCAGCGTGAAAATTGCACAAGATTGTATGTGCTGCTGCTCCAAAAATATTTATATTTATAATATTTTTTCTAGCTGTCATTTGGCCGTGCATCTGTGTGTTGGGGCATGCTTCTTTTTTTTTTTTTTGGGTAACACAAATTACTGTTTGCGGAGTGCTGCTGAGTGGCGGCATCGCCTGCGGTTGGCAGCGGCTAATAAATCACGAAAATATAAAATTCTATGTGTGCCAAATGAAATCCGAAGTAGGTCAGTGGGTGAGAAATTAAATTGGGCATTCCTTGCTCTTCTATAATCGGGGGTGTCGAAAACATTTTAGTATTTCGATAATTTTGAATTAGTTTTTCTAATAAATAAAGTTTTTTCAGACCTAAACTATGTTTTTAAATATATTTAATTGTTCGAATACTAACTGTTAAGTTCCTAGTATAATAACATTACTATATTTCTAAATTTATTTGTTATCTTTTATTATTCGACTCAACACCTATAAATTTACCTGTGAAGAAATATCTCTGTTCCACCTTCGCAGTCATAAAAAAACACAGCTTTCAATTTACCAATAACCGTTCAATCATCGCGGCTAATCAAGTGTTCCGAAAAGGGAGCGAAAGTCAAATGGAAATTGTTGCCTCCGGTGGGAAGCTTTTGGGTACTCCATTGCTTTATGCATAGGGTCCTATAAATCACTTGCAAATTACCAGAGAATTGGGGGGAAATCCCAGGCAGAAGGAGTCGCCGGAGGAGGAGAATCCATCCAGGCCACAGCCATTTCTCAGTGCCTATAATAAGCAAGTGAATGCGAATGTGGCTATGGCTGTGACTGTGAATGCACAATTATGGCCGCTTCGTTGGTCGTAAAACAAGAAGGGATCCAGTGCCCTTTGACCCGCCTCGGCTCGTCCTCATAGCCATCCCTTTGGCCTATGGATCCACCCGCTTTGCACTCACTTTCCCCAGCAATTTCACCCGCTTTTCCCAGCAATTCCACCCGCTGATGACTTTGTCACGGTGGCCTCCAGTTGCAGAGGCAAAGTCAGCGGCAGCGACATCAATAAAATAAACAGTGACAGTGGGTGGTTGTGGGTGGCTTGGGGAGGTGGGTTGTTAGCCAGTGGGCGGTGGGGGGTGGGAGGCTGGGCCTGCACAATTGAACACGCGACATTTGGCCAATGTTTGCTGTTTGTTATCCACGATGTTGTCTTCGCTGCCTGTCGTCTCCACTTTGACTTTTATCTATTGACATAATATTTTTTTATGCTCCTCCAGCTGGAGGCCCTGGGTATTGGGGGGCGTGCCAAGCACTGGTTACGATGCTTCACTCAGAAAAAAAAATATTGTAAATAGGTAATAGTTTGGTAAGCCCGCATTCCTACATTTTTTGTGAAAATTCGTTTATACTTTCGTAAATTGAAAATGACAACAATTTTATATAATTTTTATTTTATTTTATTCTTACAAAAAAACTAAAAATCAAATTTGAAATGCTTTGTCTATGTTACTACTTAACGATAATTTCAAATTATATGGGCTATATTGGTAATTTTGACAGTTTTCTAGGTTAAGTAGTTTTTTTATTGGTTTTTAAATTTAATCCCAATTATGGGCATTTTGTCCAGCGTAGCGCTTTGGTTTTCGCACTCCAGTCAGCGAGTCACTCAACGAGTCCTTTATCCAATGGCTTAGTGTCAACGGCTTGCTTAGATTTAAGGACACATTTGCAGTATAGTAAACGAACGAGAAGATCCAATGTCATTAGATTTAGAAAAGGAGATGGAAAATAGATTGGAGAGACGGGAAAAATGAATTTCAAAACGAGTTCAATCCAATTTTTCTACAGCGACTTAGAAAAAGGGAACTGCCAAAACTTTTTTATCCGGGTTATCCCATTTTAGCATGCCACAAATTTCTATTGTTCCATCTTTTTTAGAACTTAAGTGCTGCGCCAGGACTCGTTTTGATTGCACCCCATAGAAATAACGAGGTGCACACGTGCTCCCATTCTCCGGTTTCCCTGACCATCCTTTCGAATAGCTGCGCTTTTATAACCTACACTTCCGTAGAGTGTGAGAGATATCTCCGGTCCTGTCCGTTTATGCAAGTGTTAAATAAAGTATCCGCCGGCCATTGTAGTTTATGCCCGGTTCGCCCGAGCCGCTGACATTTATTGCTTGTTTTAAAACGGGACAGGAAGGGAGCAAAAGCAACCGAACGACAACATTTATTATGGCCCGGGCACATAAAACACGAGCATCGGAGTTTATAGTGGAGGTGGTATCCGCCTTTCAGTTCAGAGTCCAGAGGATAATGATAAATGTTCTTGAGCAGGTGAAGTACTAATTAGGTTACTCAATGTGCTTTTAAACACTTTAAATCCTTGCAAATTATAAACTATTTTTCTAAAATTATGTCCGCCAATCAGAACTGATTGTGAACAAATAAGAATTGATCAGAGTCACATATGTTTGGGTTGATTAAAGACGAAATGCTTTTAAATTGTATATTTTTATTGAATACCTAAAGGCAAAAGTCATTTTATTATGTTGTGCTCGGCAAATAAATAAGATTTTATCACACTAACACATGTTTAATTTAATTAAAGACGAAATGCTTTTAATTTGTATATTTTTTATTCAACTGCTAAAGACAAAGGTCTGGTGACTAAAAATAATAAACTACTCCTACCAGAATAGTTATTTTTCAATCTTATATCTATGCAAATGTTTTTCTTCAAATTTATTTTTCAATTTCATTGTAGCGTTGACCAACAAGCGTTCATATTATTTGAATTTGTTTTATTCAGTTGCGTCTTTCGAGCTGAGAACTTTTGCAAATAAAGCAGTTTATTGTACCGGTGGGACTTATAATCCACACAAGCGTTATAAGTGCTCCCTCACCTTCAGATCTCCCGATTCCAATCCCAGTCCCAATCCCAGTGAAATAACTGAAAAGGGAAGTCCGGAGAAAAAGAAGGAATAAAGAGTTACAGGGTCTGTTGGCCCTATCCTCGCAGCATTTCAAATTAAAAGCACTCGCCGCGTTTTATTGCTGTGCCTGCATTTTTCCTTACTTTTTCCTGCTGCCGGTCTCTCGTGTTGGACATACAAATTTTTATGTCCATTTGGCTTTATTTCACACTTTCTTGTTTATTATTGCTGCTGTGCTGGGCCAAAAAACACGGAGCGAGAAAAATTTAAGTATTTGGACCTTTTTCATTCCCCCGACTTCTATGACCAAATAATGCTGTTGCCATTGATTTATGCAGGGACTTTCGCAAACTCTTTTTGGTGTCTGCTTCTGTCCTTTATTCGACTTAAATGCCAACTTAATTGTTGTGCCAGTGTCCAGAAAGGAGGCAATTTACTTATTTTATTCTCTCGTTTCGGAAGGGCGAAACCCATCCTACCGTATCAGCAATAAAAAAGTGGGGAAAAATCTGAGCATTCCATTAGCTCACTTAATTTAGCGCAAAATGATTAGAGACTAGCAATTTTCATGGGCCTCCAAATGGTCACTGGTGTGGGAATTTGTGAAACGGGTAAAAATTGAGTGAAAATGTAAGCAAACAGAAGGCTCTAATTAAAAACGTGTAAGCAAATTAGGAAGGAAAAAATTAGTTAAACACAAAAGGGTATATTTGCAGACTAAGGTCATTGCATAATGTATTTATTTAATCTAATAAATTAATAAGTAAACATTAATTTTAAGAAAGGCTTAACATAATTTAAAGCTTGCGCTCAGCACCCACAACTCCATGATTTGTTATACTTTTGGAGTATTTTTCATGCAACTCTTGGCAATCTTTGTTCTCCACATTTCTGCAGGTACTTTGGTCCATGTGATATAGTCTCACCAGACCGCCGGAAAAACTATCCCTGAAGGTAGCACGATACACTGCCCGAAAGGCCAGATCGTAGGCTTCAATGTCGCTGAGGTTAAAGCGGTAGTCATTATCCAGAACACCCAGGGCGTACGAGGACCCACTGCCCACGGCGAACACCTTTCCGTAGATGCGCAGCCCTTCGGAGTCCACATAAACCAGACTGGGGCCTTCAGCGGACCAACCCGCCAACATCATTCCCATGGAGAGACCCATTCCCTTGTAGTCCGCTGCCACATTGCAGATAAATCTGGCAGCGGATCGCACAGATAATCGCTCCTTGTAGCGTAGCTCGTGAAGTCTGCTCTCCCTGGTCAAAACGCGGTCCCAGTAAATGCAGTCAGCTGCTCCCCCGGCAATGGTGCTCAGAATATGCTTATTCACCTGCACCACCTTCTGAACGCTCTGCGATCCAATATATTTCCCCGCGGTGGCCCTGGAATCCACACACAGGACAATGCCGCCTCTGTAAACGAATCCCACCGTGGTGGTACCGTGATCATAGTCCATACGCACATTACTCTGGGCTGCCAATTCATTGAGTCGTTCCCGGGGACTCTCAAATGGTGGAGCCATTATTGCGAACGGATTATCCACATTACTCGAAGCCAGCCTTATTTGGTCGATTGTCTGTTGGGAAGTGAGCGAACCAAATCCCCTCATAAACGCTGGCTTATCCATTCCACAAATCTTCTCCAAGGCCATGATGCGAAACACAGGAGATATTATGTAGGGTAATATCAGTGTGTGTTTTTATTAAGATAGAAATATACAAATTATTTGACTTTGTCTTGTTGACAATTTAATACAGGCATTTGAAATATGTTTTATTCAAACATCGTAAAAAACAAATATGTACCTATATTTTATAAACTCTTCATGAATAAACTAACTTTAAGTCACTCAAATTTATATTTCAACTTATCTTTTGAATTTAATCCATGCCAAAATTGATAAACAAATTTGAACATTTTGTTTGACAGTTCTCTGATATGAACAGTAACGTTGCCAATTAGAAACTTTTGCCAAGTATTAAAAATAAATTATTTTTCATTTTTCCCGAGTAAATAATTTTTGCAATATCATAAAGTCTACAACACAGCTGCAATAAACTGCTATTTTGTGAGAGATTTATAAAAATATGCCAAAATGTACAGCTATATATTTACACATCCACCTAAGCAAAACTCAATAAAATGCACGAAAAAATATTGTATTTACATTATTCTCGTGATAAATTCATGTTGCCAGCTTGTATTTTTTTTCTTCTTCTTTTGGCAGCATTTACCCATGTGCAGATTAAAATATGTTTGCCATTGCTTTTATGAGCTTTTTCGCATTTCATGTGGTGCCCAGGAAATGGCCAAGAAACGAGAACCGAAAATTGAATATTAAATAACCTCAAGCAATAAACAGAATTACATGGCGTGCGAATGTTGTGCAGCTGAATGTGTGAATTGTTTATGACATTAATATCCGTTTGTTTGTGCAATCATTTAAAAAGGATTACACGATTAGCATCGCACAGCGGCAATTGATAACCGCTTAAGGCGATGCGGAAATTGTCATTTATATTATTTTCCCCAAAATCGCTTACGCTGTTCAACAAATGTTACAATAGCTGGAATTCAGATTAAATGATAACAACGTGTTGAAAAGGAAACATCAGCATATGTAAGAAAAGTGTACTGAACCAATTCTATGATTTTTAATTTCTAAAAAATATGTGGTTAATAAACATTTCTCATTGCTTTATATTATAAAACCGGCGGCTTATGCAATATCAGATTTATTTTTAACCCAACGAGTACATATTTTCTTTAAAATAATTTGTATAAATATTGTTGGATTTACTTTAATTAAAACCATGTGTAGGACAATATTTTGTGTTCCATAAGAATTATTTTGAGTTCCAAAGATCCCAAAGATCCCAGAACCATCTATTAGCCAAGCTCTTGGGGTAATCAATTTTAATGTTCGACCCAACGGAAGGGTCACACATTTTCAGCAATTGAAATGTGTGCGGCCTGTCAAAGGTTAAACGTTTTGTTGCATTGCCAAATTTGCTCTTGACCAACGACGAAGGCGGCAAAACTGGGTGGTCCCAGTGAGGACCACATTGTCAATCAGGAAATTCCTTAAACACATCCATGCTCCGACCCTTTTCCCCCGTTTCTCCACGAATCGCTGGGTTATTTGCCAAAGTCGGAATGGCAAACACTTCTCCTGGGCCCCCGAATTGGGCTTGTGTTTGGGTTTTGGGCTTGCCACCTGGCCCAAGCCGACTGCTGTGTCGAAATTTATGCATTGCAGTTGACTTATTAGGGTCTGTTCCCCCCTTTGATCCCTGACCCCATCCAATTTTGGTGTTGATTCGCTTTGATTTGCCGGATTGCCCTGAGCTGGCCAACTGTGTGTGTCAGAGCAGCGCCCTGCATTCGGTTTTGGCCCGCTCCGGGGGATATTCTATCGTTAATGGTGGCTAATTATGTTTAATTATTCATTTGGGAGGGCATCATTTGTGATTTTGCGACGAAATGCTTTCCTTTCCGTTTTTCTTGAACATTGACTATAAACAAAGAAAACTTGTTAGTTTCCATTAGAAATAATTGATGATTTTAATCGCAAAACATTTATTTAAAGAATTTAAAACCAACTTGTATAGAAATACATAAAGAATATATTATCAATTTTTAATTTTTGCTTATATCCTTTGACAAATTCGTTTATTAAGTTGGCCATTATGACAAAACAGGTTGATTTTACAAAAAACTATTTTCAAAAAACTATATAGACAAGAAATAGGTATGACGTTCACATTCTTATCTACATAGTTTTTTGGAAACAGTATTTTTGATCTCCTTATAATATTTTTTAGTCAACTATTCATTTTTTAGTCAAATTATAAAATTAATAAATTCGTGTTTTAGGAAGTTCAAAATTATCGTAAACTTCATCCAGAGATTAGTTTTCGTTGTCCTTAGAGATATTGGCCAGGGTCAAGTCAGCATCTCTTTTGCCTTGCTTGTCTGGAGTAAAATCTATGATACAAGTTTCAGAGCTTTTGACTGAAATTATGTCTTCATCACTTCCCCAAAGATTTCTTGGAATAAATTCGTCTGAATCAGCCTCAGATTTCAGTTTTCCGTCGGGTAAAAGATTCTGCATTTGTTCTAATGAATCATCAACGTACTTATCAAGTTGTTTATCACTTTCCAATAGATGTTTTGGAATAAATTCGTCTGAATCTGCCTCAGATTGCAGTTTTCCGTCGGGTAAAAGATGCTGTAATTGTTTCAATGAATCATCAACGTATTTATCAAGTTCGACATCGCTTTCCAATAGTTTTTTTGGAATAGATTCGTCTGAATCTGCCTCAGATTGCAGTTTTCCGTCGGGTAAAAGATTCTGTAATTGTTCTAATGTATCATCAACGTACTTATCAAGTTGTTTATCACTTTCCAATAGTTTTTTTGGAATAGATTCGTCTGAATCTGCCTCAGATTGCAGTTTTCCGTCGGGTAAAAGATTATGTATTTGTTCTAATGAATCATCAACGTACCTATCAAGTTGTTTTGGAATAAATTCGTCTGAATCTGCCTCAGATTGTAGTTTTCCGTCGGGTAAAAACTTCTGTAATTGTTCCAATGATTCGTCAACGTATTTATCAAGTTTTACATCGTTTTCCAATAGTTTTTTTGGAATAGATTCGTGTGAATCTGCCACAGATTGCAGTTTTCCGTCGGGTAAAAGATTCTGTAATTGTTCTAATGTATCATCAACGTACTTATCAAGTTGTTTATCACTTTCCAATAGTTTTTTTGGAATAGATTCGTCTGAATCTGCCTCAGATTGCAGTTTTCCGTCGGGTAAAAGATTATGTATTTGTTCTAATGAATCATCAACGTACCTATCAAGTTGTTTTGGAATAAATTCGTCTGAATCTGCCTCAGATTGTAGTTTTCCGTCGGGTAAAAACTTCTGTAATTGTTCCAATGATTCGTCAACGTATTTATCAAGTTTTACATCGTTTTCCAATAGTTTTTTTGGAATAGATTCGTGTGAATCTGCCACAGATTGCAGTTTTCCGTCGGGTAAAAGATTCTGTAATTGTTCTAATGTATCATCAACGTACTTATCAAGTTGTTTATCACTTTCCAATAGTTTTTTTGGAATAGATTCGTCTGAATCTGCCTCAGATTGCAGTTTTCCGTCGGGTAAAAGATTATGTATTTGTTCTAATGAATCATCAACGTACCTATCAAGTTGTTTTGGAATAAATTCGTCTGAATCTGCCTCAGATTGTAGTTTTCCGTCGGGTAAAAACTTCTGTAATTGTTCCAATGATTCGTCAACGTATTTATCAAGTTTTACATCGTTTTCCAATAGTTTTTTTGGAATAGATTCGTGTGAATCTGCCACAGATTGCAGTTTTCCGTCGGGTAAAAGATTCTGTAATTGTTCTAATGTATCATCAACGTACTTATCAAGTTGTTTATCACTTTCCAATTGTTTTTTTGGAATAAATTCGTCTGAATCTGCCTCAGATGGCAGTTTTTCGTCGGGTAAAAGATGCTGTAATTGTTCCAATGAATCATCAACGTATTTATCAAGTTTTACATCGTTTTCCAATAGTTTTTTTGGAATAAATTCGTCTGAATCTGCCTCAGATTGCAGTTTTGCGTCGGGTAAAAGATTCTGTAGTTGTTCTAATGTATCATCAACGTACCTATCAAGTTGTTTATCACTTTCCAATAGATTTTTTGAAATAAACTCGTCTGAATCTGCCTCAGATTGCAGTTTTCCGTCGGGTAAAAACTTCTGTAATTGTTCCAATGAATCGTCAACGTATTTATCAAGTTTATTACTAATAGCCATATTCGAAAATAACTGTTCCAGTTTTTCTAGGCAAGACTCTTTGTTTCTATTAATGTCACTTGAGTTTACTTTCTCAAAATGTATGTTTGAGCTACTTTCTAGAAAGTTTCCTTCGCTTTCTTTATCATCAAGATCACGCTCGCTTGGAAGATCTAACATATCTTCTAGGGAAATATCTACTACTTGATCAAGATCAATATGCGTTTCCTTTTTTCCATTTTCAGTATCAAAAATAAAATTATCAAAAATATATTTTTTATTAAAATCGTCTAACTCATTCAAATTACTATTCTCGCACTTTGGTCTGCATCCCTTTTCGGAATAATCTTTTTCATTTATTTCAAGATTCCATACATTTTCTTCCAGAAGCTTTTTAGTAGAAGACAGATATGCTTTTGTTTCCATATCCTTTGTACGCAAATTATTTTCGGTCGAAGCAGCTGAATTATTCTGTTTATTTTCAGAAAAATTGATTTCATTCCAATAATTCTCAGTCGAATCGTATTTATTCAAATCATTTTCAGTTAAACCGATTTTACTAAAATTATTTTCAGTATAATCGATGTTATTTGAAGCATTTTTTGTAGAATCATTCCTTTCATTTGAGTCTAGCGAGAATAGGTCAATCATATTTTGCAAGGAATCATCAATTAATTGATTAAGCTTAGTGCTTGATATCTCATTTTTAATCTTATTTTTTGCATTCTCGTTAAGGTTACCCATTCTTTGATCTTGATTTGGTATGCACTCCTCATGGAAATAATCATTGTATTTTTTTGATATTTGTTTTTCTACATCCTCATTAAGCGTAGCTAAAATTGTATTCCCATTTTTATTGTTTTCATCATCCTTAATATTTGGTTTGCTTTTCTCTTGGGAATCATCGTTATATAATTTGTTTATATGATTTGCTTCATCATCGCTGTTTTTCAAAATTGAAACACCTCTTTCGTGGTTCGTTTCATCTTCACATTTTGGCTTGCATTTGTTTTGGTAAAAATCATCATGGCTTTTGATTTCGTGTTGGAAATCAACAGTCGCATACTGATCTAATTTTCTTTCGAAATCATTTTTAGGCGAGTCGATTTCAAATGAGTAATATATAGTAGAATCATTTGCGGACGAATCTTTTTTATTAGAACTATTTTGAGTGGAATCATTTTTAGTTGAATCTATGTTGCTTATATCATTTTCAATCGGGTTGATTTTTATTGATCCATGTTTAGTCAAGTCAATTTCACTTGAATCATTTAGAGTCGAATCATTTTCAGTAAAAACGACTTCACTTGAATTGCATTTTTTCGCATTTATCAACAATTCATTGTTGTCAGTTAAACCGATTTTAATAGAATCATTGTCAGTTAGCCCGATTTTATCAAAATCATTTTCTTTAATCACATACTGGTCTGCTTCAGGTTTCATCTCATTTTCAGGCGTGTCGAAGTAAAAAGAACTACTTTTAGAATAATCGTTTTTCAAATTATTTATATTCTCAGTGGAATCAATGGTATTATTTTCAGCATAATCGATTTTAACGAAATCGCTTTGAGTCGAATCACTTTTAGTTAAGTTGATTTCAGCGGGACCTTTATCAGTCGAGAAGATTTTGTTTGAATCATTTAAAGTCAAATTTATTTTAATTGAACCATTTTTAGTAGAATCATTGATTTTATTGCAATCATTTTCAGTCGGTTCGCTTTTAGTTAAATTATATTCATTTGAATCGATTTTGATCAAATTATTTTTAGTATAATCTGTAATTGAAACATTTTCATTAGAACCATCCTTTTCATTACATTCGAGCGAGTTTAAGCTTAGAAGGTCAATCTTATTTTGCAAGGAATTATCAACTAATTGGTTGGGCTTAATGCTCGATATCTCACTTATAATTTTCTTTTCTGCATCTTCGTTAATCGAATTTCCGCTTTCATTGTCTGTATGATCTTGACTTTTTGGTACGCTTTCATCTTTCTTTGCATAATCAACAAGCTTACCCATAACCGAATTTCCGCTTTCAGGAGAATTTCGTTTTTTCAAATTATTTTTATTTTTGTTTAAATCACTTTTATTCGAGTTGATTTCAGTGGGACGTTTTTCATTCGAATAGATTTGGTTCGAGTCATTTGTAGTTATATTTAGTTTAATCGACTTATTTTCTGTGGAAACGTCTTTATTTTGTGTCAAATCTATCTTTTCAGAAATATTTTTGGTTGCACAAGTCATTTCCAAATTATTTCTAGTGGAGTCGATAATAAACGATTCATTTTCAGTTAAATCAATTGAATTCGAGTTTCCAGACTCAGAAGCAGTCTTTGTTTGTATATTTCCACCTAATTTCATAAGAAGTTGATTAATATCATTTCTAACATTATCGACGGTTGAATCCGGTACACTTTCAGACCGGAGACGAGACAGTTTATTTAACAACTGTAAAATATCATCGGTCATTTGGCTTAGTTCTGCGTTGTCCTTTTCCACTTCAGAGAAAAAGTCCTTTAATTCTTTGTCCCAATCTTGCTCGCTTACCGAAGACGTACTTGGAACCTTTTCTAAATTAGCTTTAATTTTGTTTAGTTGCTTAACAGCTATGCTTTTTTGAGCTAGAAACTTTTCCCTGTCATCCAAACACTTTTCTATTGAGTTCACTCTCTCTTTTTGAACATTTACATACAGCTGATCATTATCGACATTCCTTATTGATATCTTAAGCTCAATGATTTTCTTCTGAATCCAAGCAGAGGCTTGAGGCAAGGTGAAGGACGTGAGATCCTTCCTGTGGTCTACTTTTATAAAAACCGATTCGATGGGCCTGTGCGATAGTCTCACATATAGGCCACGTTCGCCTTTATCAACATTTGCCTCGACGTGGCTATTTTCCATCATTTCGCATATGACTTTGTAAGCCCTTTCCCATATAGTAATCTCAAAGCTCACTTTCATCCGAATGTCTCTGAAAATGTGCTCCCAATTGTCGTAGTCCGCCCTCATAATTTCTATATCCCTGCGAAGCGACTTGCACTCGTTCTCATCACATATGTCCGATTTTATTTGCTCCCCGATTTCAACCGGATCGTTAACGCAAACTATTGGGGCTACGGCGGTAATCTCTTTCGTTGGCTTCGATAGTAAATCCATCTTGGATTCTGGAAATAAAATTGATTTTGTTTTTAGTTGGCTAGCGAACAGAAAGGGATTTATGCTTACCAAGAAAGTAATATTTATAATTTTCAGCAGTAAAATTATTTTTTGATTTTTCCAACGAAACTTGCTACGTGATGAATAAAGACTGAGTATTTCAATAACTTCTCATAATCTCTTTACAAAAGAAACAAATGTTTCTCAGTTCAAAATTGTCAATATTTGAACAAGAAGTGCCTTATATTTTGAATGAATTTATTATGATTTATTATAAAATGAATATAATTTTTAAAAATCGTAGTATTTTTTTTTATCAATTTATATAATGTCAACAACGCATTAAGAAGGACACCTAGTAGGATAAGCTCTTAAATCCTTTTGATGAACTCTTGAATATTAAATTCTCTGTCTCTATTTCAACCGAGCTCACCTTAAACGAGTGTTACTCCTCAGGAAGCCCCAAAGTATGCAGGAACAATTCATCGCCGGGACATGGCTTTTAATCAAGCCAAGGACCCAGGCACGCACACAGGCGAATGTATCCAGCACATGTTTACATATTCCTGCATACTTATGCGCTCCTCGGAGACAGGGACAACATAATCACATGCGTAGCTGCAATTTCCGTTGCATACTTAGAGGCGCCTTCCCCTTGGACCGCCCGATGATATATAACTGCGATTCGCAGGCTGTAAATTTTGACTTTCAATGCGAGCTGGGAATTTGACATTTACTAATTGCCGGATTATGCAGCCAACGCTGAGGACAGAAGGCCCCTAGAAGATGCGAGGACTCGGAATGCATTTCCCAATCGAAAAACTCCCCAGTTAAGTAAACTCAGTTGAGAACATTTCGCAAATGAAACGGGTTAAGCTGCACTTAACTCTCCAGCCAGAGGTAGGAAAGACAGGAAACTCGACTAAGTTCTATTTCCGCTTGAACGAGGGAAGAAGCCTGCAGCTGTCATCGGCATCGACGGCATTAATTAATCAACGTTATGCATGTCAATAGAGAAGTGTACCAGCCATCTCTTTCAGTTTTATCCCTGCCATCTCTTTCTGCTGCTTGTTGGCATTTGATTTTTTTGGTTTTGCCAAGCAGAATATCACTTTCGCAAATTGAAGTTGCTTTTCCTGTCTCTCGATTTCTGTTGTTGCATGTGTGGCATGCTTCATGGCAAGTCATGCATATTCATTGTTTACAGGCACACAAGCACCCACAAACATAAACAATCTCTTGGCAATTTTACCTGATTTCTTTTCAGAATCTTCCACCCGCTCTCCGCCAATTAGAATCGACTTCCCTTCTTGGCTTATTTGTCGTTGCATTGGGTATTGTTCGGAGCCGTGGCAGCCCAAAGAACTTTCAATTGCAATGCCCCTCATTGGTTTACAAAATCTCTACTGTTTGCCACATAAGCTATTCGAGCAATTAACCAAATCGTATTGCACAAAATAGGAAAATGGGAAAATTTACACTGGAAGCTTGCAATTGTTAAATGGAGATTTGAAGGAAACTGTCAGTTAATATCCTGACGTTAGACTATCATATTTGAATAGTAATTTCAAAAATAGACTAAAACTAAGACAACAAAAATTGTCATGGCACAGAAATATTTGGTATTCATTTATCATTTAAGATATGAGTTTTGTACATATAAAATATGACTTATATTATATTTCTCTTACATTTCCATACCAAATACTCATCATCTACCTTTTAATGTACCACAATCATTAAAAGAATTACACACTTTTATTGCCAATCAGCATTTACAAGTATGAAGAAATTTGCATAGCAATACCGCTTAGACGACGACCTGAAACTCCTCTTCTGTTTTCAATTTATATACTTATTTATTGGCCTGGACATTCATAAATTCGATGTCGTTCAGCCCATAACAATCATAATCTTCGATATAATTTCCACTTTACGGTTGCCTAGCTGTGGGGCGATAAAAATGTACACATTGATATGTTTTTATGGTTGCAAAAAATAAAACAAGGAAAGTAAACAAATAAACAATGTACAGGGACATCAAAGAGCAATTTCAATGCAAAACGGCTAAGACACACAAACACATTCTTACCATATTTCCCATTTTCCTTGTTCAAATGCAAACGCCTTGAATGTGTTGACAATTTATAGACAAAAGGTTGGTCGGAAAGGCTGGCAAGAATAACATGTAATTTGACAAAATCCATAAACCATAAATTTTTGGCCAGCCCAGCACTAAAATTGCCACATCCCCTGGGGGAAGTTCCTCCATTGTCTTTGCCAGTGGACTTGTTTCGCTGCCCCCAAGAAAACTGTCTCGTAATCGGAGGCAATAAAAAGAAAAGCAGAAACGCATAAAATATTATCGAAAGCAGTGCGAGTAGTTGGTAACCCTGGTAGCCGCATAAAAATCACCCAAGTCCATAAATCGCCATCAACCAGCAGCCATCACGACTATTTGGTTAAATCAACCCAAAGACACGAGCCGAAATAAGCATTGAATAAATTTAGTGCCCACTTTCGGGTATTTATCATGTAATGCTCGGTGCCATTTTATTAAATGCCCAATTAGAGGGCTTTTGCTCTGATTCTTGAATGAAAGCAGCTCAAATGAGCTGCAGATCATAAATTGTGACGGATGTAATATTTGCTCTTAATCAGACATAGTTTTCCAATAACTAAAGAGGGTTTGTTAAGAGTCACAAACAATTTTAATTTGTTATAAACTTACGATGGAAAATACCTTTTTCGAACTTAAACTTCAATCTGTATCTGCTTTTTCTCATGCTAAAGATGCAGAGAACAGAGAAAAGGCATTGCAGAACAATTTAATTATACGCTTAATTTGCTTAAATGGCTGAAGGATGCCACAGCAATTCAAGTGTTGACAGTAGTAACAGTTTGAGCCTTTAGAGGAAAAAACTAAAAAGTCTACTTTTAACCAATGAAAAGGATCTGCGTTTTTTGCCCATGAAACTTTGTTTGATTCCAAACAAAAGAGCGAGGAAAAAGTGAAGGGGGCGGTGATGCGAAGTAGAAGGCAAACATTTTGGCGCTTGCTGCATCAAACACATGCAGACAGCTTAAGCACTTGATGCCTGGCTTTTCCTGGGAGCCAACCCACATCCTGTGGGTCCTGTGAGCCACCCAGCCTGCATCGGTTATTAAATTTGCGTGGAGTATCCCACTGTCCTTTGTTAGTTGAGGCTTCGCCCGGGATATGCGGTAGCCTAACTCATAGTTTGCGGAGTTAGTTGGCCTAACTAAGTTTTGCACCAATTCCGAAAGTTTAGGCACAACTTGGATCCCCAGCTCACCGTAAATGCGATTAGAATCAAGAGAACTTTGGCACAAGTAGCTAAAGAGATATAGAAAATTAATGACTAACAAGAGAACATTTAATATAAATAAGTGTAGGTAAAAGATGTTAATTCGATAAAAGCAAAAATATAGTTAAAAACTATCTAAAACATATAAATATCTGCCCCTATAGTTATTTAATTTGATTCTTCAATGTGGAAAGGACAATCTTTTGTGGTAAAAAAAATTTGATGGCCTTGTGAAAGGTCAGACGTTTGCCACAATATGCTCACATCACCTGCAGTCCCCCAAGATTGAGTTGCTACAGCTTTGGCCAAGTCATAAACCAGGCTCCTGTCGAATCTGGCCATGTCCTGTCCCGAGTCCTTTCTCATGTTCTCGTCCGAACTTTCCGGCAAATGACATTTGAGCACGCCCGCACAATTCAATTAATGGGCATTCAAATGATATAAACCTGCTGAGGCATTTTTAGTGCAGCCTCCCAGCCGAGTGCTCCGTTTCATTAGCAGGCGTCCACAGTGAATTGAGGTATTGCCAGGGGATGCATGAAAACTGGACAGGGACAATGCCAAGCCCATACCACACCCACACTCCGCATTCAAGCCATGGCAACTACACACGTGTCACATGCCCAAAGGCAAACAACAGGTGCAAAAAGAAAAAAACCCAAAACACAACAACATCCTTAGTAACAGAAGCCAGAACACTGCGAGAATGAATCCTAGAAAATAATAAATCCTACACAAAACTTTAAATTAATTATCAATTTTTATCAATTTCTGCTGTTATAGAAATTATTTTGTTAATTTAAAATTTAATAAATATATGTAATTTTATATGTATTTATTTATTTATTTCATTCCTAAAATATGTCTTTATATAAATGACCTTTTTTCTGTGTAGAAACCACCACTTTGGGGCAACCTTGTGCGAGTTGCCCATGGCAACCGAAAAGGTCAACAATTAGTTTGGATTTGGAAAAAGTGAAAGAGTTTCGGTGAAAACTGAAAGTTCACAAGTGGCGTTGGATGCGGAAAATCTAAGTCAAGATGAGCCAGCGCACTAAATTCATAATAAATACTTCAGGTGAGATTTGGAGGGACTTACCATGAAATACATTCCTGAAAATATCGACATCCCTCAGTGGAGTACTTCTCGGCCCGTTTGCCGGGTGCAGAGTTAGACGAACAAACTGCCATGATTCTGGAGTTTCTAGAACAGGAGGAACACACGGTCATCTCGGCAGTGCACAGTAAATCTGATGGCAAAATCCGATTCCACCACCGCATACCGAACGAGGAGCTCTGCCTGCTTTTCTACAAGGTGCCGCAGGTGGGGCAGAATCACAGGCAAGGTGGTGAGCCGCTGCTGGGCATTTTAACCCTGGAAGGGGGCCTGGTCAAGTCGATTTACAACTCCGTTTCTCGGGTCTTCTCGCCCTCTGCCAACTCGGCCCAGGTAAGTCTAAGTCTATATGCCTTGTGTGTTGGCCAGTGTAGTGTGACGTAGTGAAGTGTAATATTCAACCTGGCTAATTCCCTCACTCGGCTTAACTTTCCATGCTCGCTGTGTCGCACTCTCTGCAGCCTTAATTGCATTTGCGCATAATTCAATCCAGCCTGCAATTTCATTTCTTCAATTATTCTTTGCTCTGACCTGCCATCCAATTTGCCTTTTCCGATAGGTTTAGGTTTATTTTGCACTCCGCTCTACTTATAAAATATTTCATTATTTTCAGCGCAGCGAATATGGGCCCGAGTTGAGTGGAATTCTGGAGAACTTGCACCAGAACCTGGGATCCAGCTTGGGCTTACCACAGAGCGGTGA